AGTTTTTCAAGTTCACTGACGGCAGATTTGGGTTATTTGGCAGGCGGGTTGGATCGGCAGGGAACGTTAGGTGATTTTGCTTGCCCAGTATAGGGGAGGGACGAACTGGGCCGTTATGATCTGATGGATTTTTCTTTACGGATCTGGCAATCTCTCTCTGTAATGGAGTTCTATCGAGGAAGATTTTAATTTGCTTATAAGGGGAGTTATTAGTAATAATCAGTTGCTGAGATACAAATTCAAAAGCAAACATTTTCTCAGAAAATTCAAATAAAAGTGGACAGTAGTTGCGCTGAGTATTCTTGCTCAACCGGGTGCAGAGGCAGTCGCAGTGCACCATGTTTCAGGCCTTAAGGACAGCATTTTTGACTGTTGTGATAGGCAACCGGTCGAGTATGTTAAAAAGAACAGCATTATATGATTTTTCACGTCTGAGAATTTCAGCCGCAGAAGTGTCAATAAACATGTCAGTTCTGAGTAACCTAGGTTTGTCTGGACACACGGATGGTTCTATAATATGTGCGATAGGCGTAGGTTTAGCAGTGATATTTACCCCCAGCAGCTTGTTCTATCCTTTCACTACGGTGTAGTAGTCTTGAAGTTTTGAAGTCTTGAAATATTACACAGGTGCGAGGCTAGGCCCAATGGTCCCGGATCTTACTGGCTTCCAAGGTTTCTTCTAGTCCTATGTCCCGGTGAGCCGGGTATGGACAAGGCTCCACTGCGGCGGATGTTGGATAATTAAAGTGATTCCACGTCCTGTTTGTACAACAAGGTTACCTGAAACGATGTAAGGGGAAGGGAGCGGTGCAGCATCTGCATGCAGTGCGACAAATCGGAAAGTTTAGGGGGAAATACGGAATATGAATAACGCCATAGGACGGGAAGATATTCACCGTTTAGTGATTAGCGATTAGACCTAGATGCATGTTTAGATTCCTTTTGAAAGCGGATCTTGTCGGGGCATTCACTACTTCTTGGGGGAGCCTATTTCAAAGAGGAATGACCCTGGGGGGAAAGAGCACTGACGGACTAGTGTACGAGCACGCGGTTTGAAGAGTTTCATGCTATGCCCACGAAGATTATCCATACTAGTGCTCACAATGAAGTCATCAACCCTGTCGGAATTAAAGAGGTTGCACAGTAGGAAGATGTTTCCTCTTATCCGTCGGGTTTCAAGTTGGTACAGGTTCAAGATAGAGAGGCGTATAGGGTAAGGGGTGTAAACAAGCCATGCACAAGTTTTGTTGCCCTCCTTTTTACACGCTAGAGGGCCGTACAGTCGCCCACCAAGCGGGAGTGAGTAATTTGACTTTCATTAATGGTCGAATATAAGTGCTACAGAGAATCTGAAAATCATCTCTATCTATTCTGGGAGAGGNAAGAACATGGAAGGCTGATCTACAAGCTTGTGTTGGTGGTAAGAAAACGAGAGTGACCTGGTCAGCCAGAAACCAAGAATCTTATGATGTTCTACACTCTCCATAGTCATAGAAGCGTTGGCCCTGAAACTATGTACAGGACCCCCCGCAAAACTATCACATTTGTCGTCGTTTATTGGAAGGTTCCAAGCCGAAGGCCAGTCTTTGATTCCGTGAGGAATCAAGCCATCAGCATGAGCTTTAGTTAGACTGTCCAAGGAGGAGACGCCAAGGAGGAAGGCGTGTTGCGTTTGAGAAAAAAATGTTGTTTCTGAGTGGTTGTTGTCGCGTCAAACAGATTAGTCGAGGAAAAGATGTAGAGAAACGGGAGGGGGAAATAGAAGAGCAAAAAGGAACGTGACTAAACTTCGTTTGAAGATATGAACGCCTAATTGATTTCATCATCTCCAGTGATTTGAGGCTATCCAGGATTTCCTTGACCCTAGGAGCTGGAGATATTCCTGCTGGAAACTTGCCCCAGATTATCATGCGTTTACTGCATGACTCTGTCTCAGACAGCTTATTGGCGGTGTCTAAGATGTTTTGGTCTGATATCTTGAGGGTCACTTTACTGGCTTTTATTTGGGGAGAGAAACCTACAAGTAGTGACTTCACCTCCATCAACTCAGCCTCCAGTTTGGGGACTTTGTCTTTAGACTTAAGATGGCCTCGCTCTGCCATAAGATTATTCTGTGTTGTATCACTTGAGAAGTGTTGATTACCATGTTGTCGAGACGCATAGATAGCGTTTTCTTGTCCAGAGATACATCCTGGATTAAAACAGTATCGTTATTTGCTGCTATCACTTAATATTAAGTTGTGGTACAGTGATGGTATATAGCTATCATATATC